AGTGACTACATCGTGAGACAAACGATAATACACTTTATTATTGCATCTACCACGATGAATAACAACAACCTTTTCCTCGACAGGGTTAGAAGTCATTTGGATTCATTCATCATTTGTTCGGCCTTTTAAGTCTTTTAACCAAGCGTCAAACTAACAAATTTCACTCATTCAAACGTTTAGTGCACTCTTTTTTTTTATAAGAATATATTTTTTAAGAATATCGAACCTGAAATTTTGCGAAATTTTAATAAACCCGAGGCTGAGATTTTGAAAAGAATATAGTTTTGTGTGTCATACGCTATAACTCTAGGAATATTCACAAGAATATTTTAAGCCTAAAATCGGCAGAAAAATAAGAATATTCAACCTTGGCCGAAAAAAAAACAATATTCGTGTGTAAAAAAAAAGAGTGTATCTTAAGTTCTGGACAGTTAGTAACGGTGAATGCAGCGTGACCTTTGCCGGCACAAAAATCGTGCGGAAAGCGTGACTAAAGCGAGCGAAGGTTGAAAAAGCGTGACCTTAGCGAAAACGCAGCCCACAGGGGTGGTGGAAGGGGGCCTCCTCTAAGGGAGTGGTAGCTTTTAAGAATTTACTAATCTGTTCTTTTTTTGTGAAGCAGTATTTACATCACTGTGCTTGGATAGATTGATTTTAAGGAACGTTTGTTTCACTTCCGACACTGACTCATGCTGATTTGTTGTTGTCTTCGATTATGGGGGGGTTCTTTGAGGAGAAAGCTTGGAAGCAAAATGATTAATTTATTATTTGATTTTATTTGAACTTGACAAAAAAATACCAAGTGTGTTGTTATGTACAAGGTTAGTCCTGGTTGTTGATAGTCAACAATAACAATATCATTTAATTTCCCTTAAAATATCAACAATCAACATTGGCCTTCAGACATGCAGGATTTACCATAGGAAACATTTACTATAGGGAATGAATCGATTGCTGTAGAAAAGAAGATTTTTCTTTCAGTCATTGCCCCAGGGATCCTTGGGTTTTTCTCAGGGGGCAGGGGAGATGTTGATCAAGGCCCAAACAAATCTCTACCTAGATTTCAGTTGTCGAGTAGTGTTTCGTTTCTATGCACAGTCTATATCCCTAAATGATATAAGTTGTTTTGGGGGTGTGAAACTAATCACGGCTTTTTATGAAATTTCCAGTTCATCTTGTTCTGCGTCCGAGTGAACCCTGTGATGTCCTTTTAAACCGGAAAAACAAGCGAACGATTTGCTGCACCTCTTACAGTGATAGGGCCTGTCACCCGTGTGAGTTCTTGTGTGACTTCGTAGCGTTACCGCCTGCGTGAAGCTCTTGTTACAATGGTGGCACTTAAATGGCTTTTCTCCGGTGTGAATTCGCGTGTGTGTCCGCAAGTTCGAGTATTGGGTGAACGCTTTGTCGCAAAACTGACAACGAAACGGTCGATCTCCTGTATGAGTCCTGATGTGGTCCCGAAGGTGTGAAGATTTTCCGAAGGACTTCTCGCAGTGCATGCATTGAAATCGCTTCTGCTTCTGTCTCCTTTGTTCCTCTTGCGATGACGTCAGGGAGGCCGAGGAAGGCGGAAGTGAAAGGGCAAACGGAAAAGCGGCTGGACTGTCCGTGGATTCATTCTGCTTATTCAGCAAAGGAGAGCGTCTTTCTTCCCTGAGCCCGCACACCATATCATGCGGTTTTATCTGGGACAGATGATGCTCGTAAAGGCGGTCGGGATACATGGTAGTGACGCACAGTTGACAGTTGCAGCGTCGGCCATCTGGAAGGTGAGCAAAGTTTAATTTTTAATATTCCACCGGGATACATTTCATCAATTAAAGCCCCAATAAAAACTCACTGCGGGAGCCTGGCAAATAGATTTGTAACACAATAACCAGTGCTTAGCATTTGAATCAACGTATTGTATCAATGTTAATACAACTTTAATGATTTTATTATTGTCAGTGATTTGCAGTGGGAATCGATGTTTGATATTAATTTCCTGCTGAAAATTACAGTAAAAATCTAATTTTGAAGACAGCGCTTTCCGCTTTGAATTTAAGCTAATTGATTTCTTTTCCGAGAAAATAACAGTGTTTCGTTCGCCCCAATCTTGAAAAGTTGTAGATTGAACTTTAATGATTAAGTTAACGCTGTTCAAAGCAAACTTTTGCAACAGCTTTATTCTACGTTTTGTTCTCATTTCTTAAAATAAGATTTCTAATGTATTTTTAAAGAGTATATTGTAAAATAAGGACTTTTTTAGGAAAAATATATGCAGATGTTGTTCCAGTTTTGTTTTGTGTTCCTTTCTTCTTGGCACCTGTTTTCTTTTCGAAAACAAAAGACAGCATGCGTACATTTCAAATTGATGAAAGAAAGAGACTTTTGTATTTGTGTTTGAAACTGAGAATTTCAGATTCTCAACTATTGGAAAAAATCGCGAGATTTATCAAACGTGGAGCGAAGTGAAAATTATTAATGTTTGTGAAAACAAGGCAATATTTTCAGAAATATGAAGCATAGACTATCATATTCTATCTTATCGTAATTTCGTTATGATTTGGGGGAACAAGTTAACAAGAAGATCATCACATAACTTTTTCTCCCGTTGAAACATGGCAAATGTTGAAACTTTCAAATATGTGGCTACCTTCCACACAGTAAAGCGTACGGAGTCATCTTTTATCCACACGGCTCGCAAAATATAGACATTTTCCAAGATAAAAATTTTAGCCGTAAATCTGTGACAAAGTTAGTGTCAATGGGAAATTAACGTCTATTAAACAAAGGTTTTGAAACCGTGTTAACTTCTTCACTTCTCTCTTCCTCTTTCCTTGTTTGACAAAGTTTAAAACAGAGACTAAGTTTTTAATTTTGTTATCTAAAGGTTACTCGTAAAAAATATTAAGAGCAAACTTAATACCTGCGAAAACTGAAATTTCATAACTGCGCATTTTTGCCGCACCTTTCTCCAATTAACGGAATCAAATTGTCGTTTCCTTACATCCGTTGAGCTTTTCAAATATTGGTCTTAATTAATCAAGATGCCAAAATCTAGAGCAAAAGATACAAGTTTTCGCCAGTCCTTTTTAGAAGGTTTGAAGGATAATGTTAGCATACCAGAGAAATCGAATCGCGACATGGTTGTACCATAGGCCACTTTACTGAAACAATGCCGCTGCCGAATTTTTGAACAAAACTTTTAAAATGGTATTTTTTCAAGTATTCTACGTCCAAACACAAATTAAGTAGTGCAAAAAATGGAAATTTTGGTCAGGTGTTTCATTTCATTTAACTAGCGAAACAATATTTTAAACCTATGACAAAATATATCACATTTTTCAAAGGAAAGGTGACCAAGGCCGAAGATAAGAAAAAAAAGCTATTAAAAAATGAAAAGAGAAACCAATGTCAAGTTATAATATAGATGAATAAAAGCCTTTTGAAAAAATATTTTTCTTCATCATAAAGAGAGAGTGCATTTTTCTAAAATTAAAATTGCGGACAGCATTAGTATTGTAGTTTGTCGTAATGTTCTGGTGTAAAATGGAACAATTTCCCGTCATACATCAAGAACAGTAGAAGAAATCTATTTTTATGTAAAAGTAAGCGTAATCTTACATTCCTTTTATAGCGTGAAAAGTAAAGTATATTTACATGTACTGTACACCATTATCCCTAAACTGTTGAAACATGTTTGTACGTCGAAACAAAAACGAATTGCAGTATTTTTTCGAATGTCTGCGCTGTTGAGATTGTTTATCTGAAGTGAAAGCTTAAATGCAAAGGATTCTTACCTGTGTAAAAGATTGGTAGTCTCTTTACTCCCTCCGCGTAGCACGGAGAGCTTTCGTGTTCAGAGAGATGTCGAAAACGAAGCCATTCGTTGCGAAGTAAAGCGGAGTTTTCGGATAAGAGCGCCACTGACGACGGTGCTGTGCTTCGGGACTGGAAAAGAACAAAATTATACCAGTGTTAAACAAGAATAACTAGAATTAGTTTAAGACATTAGTGTCATCTGTCTAAGATTTTTCATTGCGGAGACAGCGATCAGACTTTTGTATCAATAGTGATTCACCTACACGCCAAACTATAAATTGAACCTTTTTGGTGTCTAAAACTGAAAGACTATTTTAATTGAGCTGTTGTTTCAAACATTTCCTATACGTCTTGGTTATCTTAATAATTGGTGTTAGAGAGAAGAAGCATTATGGTTTTTTTATCACTCAAGTTTGTAGGTACAGAAATAAAATCAAAATGTTGATTCAATCTCACTTAAATTTAACGTAGGACTAGTTTCAGAAAATATCTGGAGACGTAACTTCAACACTCGTTTCAGTGTATTTTGGTTTAAATAAGGAGAAAAGGGACAAAAAGAATATTTCATTTACCCCCATTTTATTTCCTCGAAATTTTTGATCATCTTTGATCAACTCGAATCCTTCACTGCAAATGTATCGGCCGAAGGTTAAAGAGTTATATTACTCAGGTAGCCTTTTGATTCGGTTCTCTTGAGATGATTAAAGTAAGTTATAAAAGGAAATAACATTTATTTCTTGCTTTTTTATATATACTTTAAAAGGGAGAGAAATGCGGGCAAATTACATGTGTTTGATACTAGACACAACGAGGGAGATTGAGTGAAATGTAATTTTCTCACGAAAGCTACACAAAAACATTTTCACACTTTGCTCCTTGTTCGATTGTTTCGCTGTCAGGGTTAAATTTCACGGAAAATTACACTCTTTGTGAAAAACCAAAATCAAATCCACACGATTCTTATTCAAGCCAGAAAAAAGTTTTGTTTTCTCCGTGTGGAGCGATAATATAAATTAAAAAGAAAGAAATACAAAGTGTGCGAAACATTGCAGCTGCCCGAAAATTTGATCTTATTTGTCGACATATTATATTGAAGCAAATTTAATTATTTTTATGTGCTATTCGTACGTGTCGCCATATTCAGTTTGCCAATTGAGCCACTTGTAAACGGAAACTGTCTGTTTTCTTCAAGATTCAAATTAGTGAATACTTATTTAAATTTTTGTGATATTTCGTTTACCCAAGATGATACTCTTTCTATAATTTTCGGGTTTGTTTTGTATGACTGGGAAAGACACCAAGAGCAGGATTCCAGGCGTAACTGCAATTTGATAAATAGTCAAAACTGCAAATTTAAATACTAATCTTTAAATAGAGCTTCCTTTCAGAACGAACAAACTGTCATTGTCTTTGCCCATCAGAATTTCAATTCTGTTTACGTTGCCTCGACGAAAGTTAAGTTTTAATTACTGACGTGGAAATTAAGTTCTTATTATTTTTGTCCGGAGGGCTAACTTTCTAAGACGGTTCGCTTAATTCCTAATGATATCACAGCGCTATTTTATTTTGCGTCGAGTAAGCTGGAAATTTTAAGAAAACTTTAATGTTATTTGCCGTTGAAAGTCCGTTGTGGGTAGTAACATTTTGTAGACAAACCAACTTAAACAGGTGCTTTTTTTGAAAACAACATGACGTCCGCGCCAGAAGAGATAATTCAATTCTTTTATTTCGCGGGGTCGATTTATTTCACGAGACTGTAAAAAATTACAGCGAAATTTTTATTTGCCTTTGTCAGTATAATTTAGCATTCTTCCAAGCAGGTAAAGTTAAATTCTTTTTAGTTAATGCAATAGACTATTTTTGGCAGCAAATGGGTTCACTGCCTACAGACAAATTTATTTTTCCTGCTCGCGAATTTATTTTTAATATGTTTTGGTTTTCTTCAAAAATAAATGGCCTTCTTTGAATTTGTTAACGGTCCACCACCAAACATCAAGTTCAAATCTTNCAGGGTTAGAAGTCACTTGGATTCATTCATCATTTGTTCGGCCTTTTAAGTCTTTTAACCAAGCGTCAAACTAACAAATTTCACTCATTCAAACGTTTAGAGCACTCCTTTTTTTTTTTTATAAGAATATACTTTTTTAAGAATAGCGAACCTGAAATTTGCGAAATTTTAAGAACATTTTAAGAATAAACCCGAGGCTGAGATTTTGAAAAGAATATAGTTTTGTGTGTCATACGCTATAAATCTAAGAATATTCACAAGAATATTTTAAGCCTAAAATCGGCAGAAAAATAAGAATATTCAACCGCGGCCGAAAAAAAACAATATTCGTGTAAAAAAAAAGAGTGTATCTTAAGTTCTGGACAGTTAGTAACGGTGAATGCAGCGTGACCTTTGCCGGCACAAAAATCGTGCGGAAAGCGTGACTAAAGCGAGCGAAGGTTGAAAAAGCGTGACCTTAGCGAAAACGCAGCCCACAGGGGTGGTGGAAGGGGGCCTCCTCTAAGGGAGTGGTAGCTTTTAAGAATTTACTAATCTGTTCTTTTTTTGTGAAGCAGTATTTACATCACTGTGCTTGGATAGATTGATTTTAAGGAACGTTTGTTTCACTTCCGACACTGACTCATGCTGATTTGTTGTTGTCTTCGATTATGGGGGGGTTCTTTGAGGAGAAAGCTTGGAAGCAAAATGATTAATTTATTATTTGATTTTATTTGAACTTGACAAAAAAATACCAAGTGTGTTGTTATGTACAAGGTTAGTCCTGGTTGTTGATAGTCAACAATAACAATATCATTTAATTTCCCTTAAAATATCAACAATCAACATTGGCCTTCAGACATGCAGGATTTACCATAGGAAACATTTACTATAGGGAATGAATCGATTGCTGTAGAAAAGAAGATTTTTCTTTCAGTCATTGCCCCAGGGATCCTTGGGTTTTTCTCAGGGGGCAGGGGAGATGTTGATCAAGGCCCAAACAAATCTCTACCTAGATTTCAGTTGTCGAGTAGTGTTTCGTTTCTATGCACAGTCTATATCCCTAAATGATATAAGTTGTTTTGGGGGTGTGAAACTAATCACGGCTTTTTATGAAATTTCCAGTTCATCTTGTTCTGCGTCCGAGTGAACCCTGTGATGTCCTTTTAAACCGGAAAAACAAGCGAACGATTTGCTGCACCTCTTACAGTGATAGGGCCTGTCACCCGTGTGAGTTCTTGTGTGACTTCGTAGCGTTACCGCCTGCGTGAAGCTCTTGTTACAATGGTGGCACTTAAATGGCTTTTCTCCGGTGTGAATTCGCGTGTGTGTCCGCAAGTTCGAGTATTGGGTGAACGCTTTGTCGCAAAACTGACAACGAAACGGTCGATCTCCTGTATGAGTCCTGATGTGGTCCCGAAGGTGTGAAGATTTTCCGAAGGACTTCTCGCAGTGCATGCATTGAAATCGCTTCTGCTTCTGTCTCCTTTGTTCCTCTTGCGATGACGTCAGGGAGGCCGAGGAAGGCGGAAGTGAAAGGGCAAACGGAAAAGCGGCTGGACTGTCCGTGGATTCATTCTGCTTATTCAGCAAAGGAGAGCGTCTTTCTTCCCTGAGCCCGCACACCATATCATGCGGTTTTATCTGGGACAGATGATGCTCGTAAAGGCGGTCGGGATACATGGTAGTGACGCACAGTTGACAGTTGCAGCGTCGGCCATCTGGAAGGTGAGCAAAGTTTAATTTTTAATATTCCACCGGGATACATTTCATCAATTAAAGCCCCAATAAAAACTCACTGCGGGAGCCTGGCAAATAGATTTGTAACACAATAACCAGTGCTTAGCATTTGAATCAACGTATTGTATCAATGTTAATACAACTTTAATGATTTTATTATTGTCAGTGATTTGCAGTGGGAATCGATGTTTGATATTAATTTCCTGCTGAAAATTACAGTAAAAATCTAATTTTGAAGACAGCGCTTTCCGCTTTGAATTTAAGCTAATTGATTTCTTTTCCGAGAAAATAACAGTGTTTCGTTCGCCCCAATCTTGAAAAGTTGTAGATTGAACTTTAATGATTAAGTTAACGCTGTTCAAAGCAAACTTTTGCAACAGCTTTATTCTACGTTTTGTTCTCATTTCTTAAAATAAGATTTCTAATGTATTTTTAAAGAGTATATTGTAAAATAAGGACTTTTTTAGGAAAAATATATGCAGATGTTGTTCCAGTTTTGTTTTGTGTTCCTTTCTTCTTGGCACCTGTTTTCTTTTCGAAAACAAAAGACAGCATGCGTACATTTCAAATTGATGAAAGAAAGAGACTTTTGTATTTGTGTTTGAAACTGAGAATTTCAGATTCTCAACTATTGGAAAAAATCGCAGTAAAGCGTGGGGAGTCATCTTTTATCCACACGGCTCGCAAAACAGACATTTTCCAAGACAAAAATTTTAGCCGTAAATCTGTGACAAAGTTAATGTCAATGGGAAATTAACGTCTATTAAACAAAGGTTTTGAAACCGTGTTAACTTCTTCACTTCTCTCTTCCTCTTTCCTTGTTTGACAAAGTTTAAAACAGAGACTAAGTTTTTAATTTTGTTATCTAAAGGTTACTCGTAAAAAATATTAAGAGCAAACTTAATACCTGCGAAAACTGAAATTTCATAACTGCGCATTTTTGCCGCACCTTTCTCCAATTAACGGAATCAAATTGTCGTTTCCTTACATCCGTTGAGCTTTTCAAATATTGGTCTTAATTAATCAAGATGCCAAAATCTAGAGCAAAAGATACAAGTTTTCGCCAGTCCTTTTTAGAAGGTTTGAAGGATAATGTTAGCATACCAGAGAAATCGAATCGCGACATGGTTGTACCATAGGCCACTTTACTGAAACAATGCCGCTGCCGAATTTTTGAACAAAACTTTTAAAATGGTATTTTTTCAAGTATTCTACGTCCAAACACAAATTAAGTAGTGCAAAAAATGGAAATTTTGGTCAGGTGTTTCATTTCATTTAACTAGCGAAACAATATTTTAAACCTATGACAAAATATATCACATTTTTCAAAGGAAAGGTGACCAAGGCCGAAGATAAGAAAAAAAAGCTATTAAAAAATGAAAAGAGAAACCAATGTCAAGTTATAATATAGATGAATAAAAGCCTTTTGAAAAAATATTTTTCTTCATCATAAAGAGAGAGTGCATTTTTCTAAAATTAAAATTGCGGACAGCATTAGTATTGTAGTTTGTCGTAATGTTCTGGTGTAAAATGGAACAATTTCCCGTCATACATCAAGAACAGTAGAAGAAATCTATTTTTATGTAAAAGTAAGCGTAATCTTACATTCCTTTTATAGCGTGAAAAGTAAAGTATATTTACATGTACTGTACACCATTATCCCTAAACTGTTGAAACATGTTTGTACGTCGAAACAAAAACGAATTGCAGTATTTTTTCGAATGTCTGCGCTGTTGAGATTGTTTATCTGAAGTGAAAGCTTAAATGCAAAGGATTCTTACCTGTGTAAAAGATTGGTAGTCTCTTTACTCCCTCCGCGTAGCACGGAGAGCTTTCGTGTTCAGAGAGATGTCGAAAACGAAGCCATTCGTTGCGAAGTAAAGCGGAGTTTTCGGATAAGAGCGCCACTGACGACGGTGCTGTGCTTCGGGACTGGAAAAGAACAAAATTATACCAGTGTTAAACAAGAATAACTAGAATTAGTTTAAGACATTAGTGTCATCTGTCTAAGATTTTTCATTGCGGAGACAGCGATCAGACTTTTGTATCAATAGTGATTCACCTACACGCCAAACTATAAATTGAACCTTTTTGGTGTCTAAAACTGAAAGACTATTTTAATTGAGCTGTTGTTTCAAACATTTCCTATACGTCTTGGTTATCTTAATAATTGGTGTTAGAGAGAAGAAGCATTATGGTTTTTTTATCACTCAAGTTTGTAGGTACAGAAATAAAATCAAAATGTTGATTCAATCTCACTTAAATTTAACGTAGGACTAGTTTCAGAAAATATCTGGAGACGTAACTTCAACACTCGTTTCAGTGTATTTTGGTTTAAATAAGGAGAAAAGGGACAAAAAGAATATTTCATTTACCCCCATTTTATTTCCTCGAAATTTTTGATCATCTTTGATCAACTCGAATCCTTCACTGCAAATGTATCGGCCGAAGGTTAAAGAGTTATATTACTCAGGTAGCCTTTTGATTCGGTTCTCTTGAGATGATTAAAGTAAGTTATAAAAGGAAATAACATTTATTTCTTGCTTTTTTATATATACTTTAAAAGGGAGAGAAATGCGGGCAAATTACATGTGTTTGATACTAGACACAACGAGGGAGATTGAGTGAAATGTAATTTTCTCACGAAAGCTACACAAAAACATTTTCACACTTTGCTCCTTGTTCGATTGTTTCGCTGTCAGGGTTAAATTTCACGGAAAATTACACTCTTTGTGAAAAACCAAAATCAAATCCACACGATTCTTATTCAAGCCAGAAAAAAGTTTTGTTTTCTCCGTGTGGAGCGATAATATAAATTAAAAAGAAAGAAATACAAAGTGTGCGAAACATTGCAGCTGCCCGAAAATTTGATCTTATTTGTCGACATATTATATTGAAGCAAATTTAATTATTTTTATGTGCTATTCGTACGTGTCGCCATATTCAGTTTGCCAATTGAGCCACTTGTAAACGGAAACTGTCTGTTTTCTTCAAGATTCAAATTAGTGAATACTTATTTAAATTTTTGTGATATTTCGTTTACCCAAGATGATACTCTTTCTATAATTTTCGGGTTTGTTTTGTATGACTGGGAAAGACACCAAGAGCAGGATTCCAGGCGTAACTGCAATTTGATAAATAGTCAAAACTGCAAATTTAAATACTAATCTTTAAATAGAGTTTCCTTTCAGAACGAACAAACTGTCATTGTCTTTGCCCATCAGAATTTCAATTCTGTTTACGTTGCCTCGACGAAAGTTAAGTTTTAATTACTGACGTGGAAATTAAGTTCTTATTATTTTTGTCCGGAGGGCTAACTTTCTAAGACGGTTCGCTTAATTCCTAATGATATCACAGCGCTATTTTATTTTGCGTCGAGTAAGCTGGAAATTTTAAGAAAACTTTAATGTTATTTGCCGTTGAAAGTCCGTTGTGGGTAGTAACATTTTGTAGACAAACCAACTTAAACAGGTGCTTTTTTTGAAAACAACATGACGTCCGCGCCAGAAGAGATAATTCAATTCTTTTATTTCGCGGGGTCGATTTATTTCACGAGACTGTAAAAAATTACAGCGAAATTTTTATTTGCCTTTGTCAGTATAATTTAGCATTCTTCCAAGCAGGTAAAGTTAAATTCTTTTTAGTTAATGCAATAGACTATTTTTGGCAGCAAATGGGTTCACTGCCTACAGACAAATTTATTTTTCCTGCTCGCGAATTTATTTTTAATATGTTTTGGTTTTCTTCAAAAATAAATGGCCTTCTTTGAATTTGTTAACGGTCCACCACCAAACATCAAGTTCAAATCTTAACTGTAAAATTGTTCTTCAAGAAACCACACGAAACAAAAAGAGCTTAAGAAAAACTTTAGCCTCATGCTGGGAAGCAACGCCCTTGCAGTTCTGAAAATAACAACATATTGCATTTTAATCGGTTGGTTGTTTTATCTCTAGGGAAGAGACTGTGAAAACCAATTTTCTCCAAATGAAACTTTAACTCGCTCCCATTTTATTCCGGTGAGACGGGGCGGTTTAGTTAGATGAAAATAAAATTTCCATTTTTTTTCGTTCAACGAGGTTTGATTATTTTCAAATGAGACTCCACATGTGTGAAAGAAATATTGTAAAACTACATGGCTTGGAAAATGAAACGTCTTCCGTTTTGCCGCGGTACTCAAGAACGGTAGCTTGCCGCACGTAGCCTGGGTAATTCCTTACCACACCCTTAAAACTAAGATACGACTGACAGCAGAAAACAACAAACCTGGTGAAGTGAACAGCGCTCATCGCAATTCGCTGGAACCTCGACAACTTGGTAAAGTTCCCCACCCAACGGCGCGACCAGGGTGCCATTAGGAAGTCGCCAAGTCGAGCAGCTTCGTAAGACGTTCTGCGCGTCATGGCAGCTCAGAAATTTACAGCCTGGCGGTAGATATTGCGGAAGGCTTGGCAGGCCGTGAGATACGGGCGAATATTGATAGGTCATGCTAATCGCTTATTACCCTGGGAAGTAAGAAACCAAAATTAGAAGAAAGGACACATTATTTACGTCTTGAATGTGGTGAGCATTTTCTCGTGCACAAGACTGGAAAGTAAAACTTAAAGCTCGACATGTGTTGATTTTTATAGACAGACAGCGCTCATTTTAGTGTTATGGGATTCTTTTTAAAGGTTCATGTCTCGTCTTCCGTCTTCTCATACAGCGAAAACGTAAATTTAAACTACAAAATTACACGTATTTTATGACCGGATACCACGCTTTCGCTCAAAAACCGTTTAGAATTAATGCTGCAATGTTTAATCATGAATTCGGGCTGAAAGCGACTAGATGGAGCAATTAGTTAGTTACCGGCTGAAAGCGAAATGGCAAATTAAAATCTCTCAAAATGGCTAGAGTAAACGACCTACACCAAAATTACTCAGCTAAAACATCTTCCGTCTCATGCAGGTTTGGCACAACTAATACTAAAATCGCTAGGATTTACGCGTCGAAGTTGTCGACAAGAAAGAAGTATTACATCTGCTTGAAAAACATGTAGGCTAGGCAAGCCGCTTTAGTTGAGCAAACAGATAGGAAGTTGGAATAGTAGAGTTCCCTTGGTGCTTGGTATGGCTATCGCAAACAAGATATCGAGAAATAGGCCGTTCTAATGATAAACGCAATAAACCGTGTACATTTTTTTGTACAACGGAGATTGTTACTGGGGGAAATGATAACACGAGCTATTTCGTCTAAGAATTCACTTCAGTAGGAACGTGTTGCCTTTGAACGCGTTGTAAATTGACGCGTAAAGAATTCTTTTCGAATGTTATAAAAACGTCTAGTTTCGCTACCGTTTTAAGAATTTAGAAATCGGAACAGCAGTAAAAGGCTAGAAAAAGATAAAAGTGTCTTGACACCTCTGAAATAAAACCTATTGCGATGAGATAAAGCGAGATAAAAATCAAAATTCTTGTACTGTTACTTAAAAAAACAAAAATCAACTAAAAAGAAAATGAGCAAAAACAGTGAAGTATAAAGTACCTGGTATGATATTCGAACTGTACAGAACGTAAACTCAATGGAACTTTTTACACCGGTCTTGGTCGTTTTCTGTTTCCAAGCTAGAAGTTAAGATCTCTTAAAACCCATTACATACCGAATGAACACAAAAAATGGAAGCGAAAATTGCCACAGCTGTAGGCCTATTATTTGTACGATTTGATCGTCACAGGCTCATGAACGATTTGCCAATAAATTACTCAATTGTTCTACCAGCGATTAATAATTGATCGCCGTCGATACGCTGAGCTAATTCGTTTTTCGACCCTTAAAGCTTAAGCATGTGACATGGAGTTTAGCTTGTCAATTGGATATAAATTATGTTGATTTCATTATAACCCGGCGCTCTGTTTGTGTATCTCTGTTTGAAGGCTCCACTTCCGCTCGATTTGGCGGCCATTTCCTCCATGAGAAGAAACTTCTCAACACAGGTGTTGCCTTGCTGCACATTGACAAAAGTTATAGAAACTTTTTTCAATATTATTTAATTTTCGTTGATGACTTATTTGTGGTCTCATAATAGAAGGTGAAAAGTCTTTTTTTCTCTTAGAATCTCACTGAGTTCTTCGGAAGCCCAGTCGAAGTTGGAAATTAATATCGAAGTCGACAGCGACGAATTCGGCCGAGAAAAGCGTAATGTACTAATGTGGACAATACAACATTTGTTCGTTACTACCATTTCAAGTTCTCTTTATGTTCACCCCACTTGAGAAGTGAAAGCGTTATTGTGGCTCGAATTTCTCTTATTAAACAAAATCTTGCTCTTCAAAATTGCGGTTAAATCTGATTTATTCAAGCTATTGAGAAATAACTTGTTAGTTGGCGCTCTGTTGTCCCGTTATACCTGGCAGAATTTTGTTTTGTAAACAGCACGTTGTTTGTGGAAAAAGAGTAGAAATTTTGCAAAGTTATCCACATTACGGATGATTTTCGTCAAAATAACTTCCCTGCAGTTGAGTGAGAAATGAAATCTTTGAATTTTGAATGTTTATTTGCAGGTGCAAGTTTAATCATCCGTCGCAAGACTTTAAATTACTCTTAAATACTGTGGCTCGAGCTATTGAGTTATTTTGTTTCTTACTTTTGACTGTTCCATGCCATAAATACTCATCCCGCCCCCAGATCACAATACCTGCAAACTTAATGGTTGGCAAAGTTTACAGCGCTATTTTTCTCGCTCGGAACAGAAAATAGATGCTTGGAAATGGAAATGGCAATTGTGTTTGTGTTTGTGAGGTCGTACGTCACCGCTTAGTTGTAAACGGACCGAGTGGCGTCAGGTTGGTGGAGAGTAAAGGAGATGGAAAAGATGAAAATAAAAAGAGCGCATCTGCGAAAGCAATTTTTCACAATTTATGAGTGTGGCACAGTAACAAAACAACACCTTAAATTGCCATTGTTTTGCGGAAGTCAAAATTACGATATTATGATTTGGACACATGAGGGGAGAAATAAGGGTGGTGTTTGGTGAGATCCAAACTGAATCAACGTTTGAATCGTTTCAGAGAATGCCCTTTACTGTGCGCACTTGTCTATCATATTGACCGACATAAAGATCAAAGATCGAGTACGAACTGACTCTTGCTTAAAGATCTGAAGTTTGCCAAGCGTTCAAATTGATTTTATATGCCCTGGGAAAAAGACAGATGCGAAGCATATGCCTAAGAAAAGCCTAATTAAAATGATTTATAACAACTATTTTTCGTGTTTAACCGGTATAAAAGATAATTTCATCATGAACAAACATTATTTTACTCTTCGCTGTGTTCGCTCTAGCACAATAAATGCTTTATTGGCTTAAATTTTTTCTCGCCCTTATGCTAATTTCAGACAGAAGTCGCCGCGGTATAGATTACTAAATAACCTGTAAATCCTACAATGGATTCGCCAGGATTTCAATTACGCACTTCTGAAAGCTGTGAGAACATATTAGAGTTCGAATGGGCAAAGTCGCTAATTTCAAACGAAGGCCGCTAATTTCAAACAAAATATACAAGTTAATAAGAAGGTGTTTCGACACGCTGCTGTCGGAAAAGTACCTATTTTTATTTCGCAAGTGCATTGGCTTTGAAAGTATAATTGTGAAGCACTTAGCTTTTTCCGGTTGAGAATAAACGCTCTTTAGAAAGCATGGTTTTACTTTAAAAGAACAATTTTCCAAGGATTCCATGACTCTCGTGTTTTGGAGAGGGTTATACTGTTTTCTGAAATTTGGTATAGTCCTAGTTTGAGAGGTTAAGGAAATAATGAAAGCTACTCTTATCATAGCCAAAGTTGACAATTAAGTGTAAATCTGTTTATTCGGGGGCACCAGTCTTCACGTTAAATTTGTTTCCTGATAGGTGAATATCATATGCGTTTGTAATATCTCATAGGTGATAACACTTTCCCGCTTAACAAAGCTGAGAATCGATATGTGAATCGAAATATAGTGCAACCTTTTATTTGGTTTTTTTGTAATATTTAATTTAATAAGTTCCAGTTAAAGAGATTCTATCTAGCGAACTTGGCGAGCAGGCTGTTCAATATCAGAAATAAACTTACTTTGACAGTACATTATACACTAGAAAAAAAGGTTACAGTTATTCAGAATCAATTACTGAGAAAACCCGTTTTCAACAAATGCACTTGAAACGAAAATCTCGACAACTTCAAACAGCGAATTACTTATCGATTATTCCATTTATTCTCCATTTCACAAGTAATTCGCCTTCGTCTAAGCCATACACGTGCGTAACCTCAGATTGAATTTACAGCCAATACAATGAACTTTTTCGCTTCAGTTTTGTGCTCAAAATCCCCGCTTAAGAAAGCATCATTCATTAGACAGTAGCATAGGAAAAGCCAAGGAAATTAGTGTCACTTAATCTCTAGGCCCACACTTACAGCGCACAATTCTCTTTAAATTCTGTTTACTTTGTAATCAGATGTCATTATAGTAAGGGAAATATTGAGGGATTTTAAAAAACATTACCAGGAGTTATTTCCTTTGCTTGGCCGTGTAAAGCAAACAATGCCAGACTTAAATTTGATTTTCTTCTTCGCTGATTGCACGTTGTGAATTCTCACGTGAATTGACTTAAACTGAGAAGCTCACAACCATAAAAAAACACTGCAAGCATAGTCGATTAATTAATTGTTTTCTCTCGTTAGCCAACTGACCGACGGCCGAATCAACAAAGCTTGATAACTCTAGTAATAGGACCAGTAACTTCAGAGAGGTTCCCTTCGTGCTTGAAAGAAGGGAGAGGTTTTAGCTTTCGCAAAACAAAATCAGGAAAAAAAATTCTGTAAGGAACTTTTTTTCTCTCGGCCTGAGACAGTGCACTCGCCCAGTTACCATCTGGAAAACAGATGCTATGAAGAAAATAGAGCCGCGCTAGGCTTGCAGCGTGTTTTCTTCACATTGCTCCTTTCGAGAATTATCACCATTGTGTTACACTGCTGTTAAAATGGGTTTGTTGCTAAGTGTGGTTTATTCCGGGCAGAACTCATATTTTCAGCCATTTGATTTTGAATCAGTAAAGCTGTCTTCACGACGAAAGTGATGCTGATAATTAGGTGAAAAGTTGCATGTGGATATAAAGTTCCCCAATTGTGTTTTGATGGGGTCTTTTGATTACCGTCATTGCTTCAGTATATCAAGTCAAGTCGAGTCTTTTTTTTTTGGATAATTGGAATGCAACCAACACCATCTCCCGCTTAAAACGAAAAAAATTGCTCTATCAAATAGCACAGTAACTACTAGAAATACAAAATAAAAGACTGGTTTTGTGATCCCCAGAATATTAATATCTTCGAGAGTGAAGGACTTCTACAATTAATCGTAGTCCTGTGCGACAGACTAGAATTAAACTGATTTTTTGAAAATTTGATAAATGAAATTGTGTACATTTGACTTGGGGGACTCTCTCCTGAAACCAACCGAGTGGTTCCCAATTATGTTTGACAGAAAAAAAGTTCTTTTATGTAGTTGCCGGCCAACCAAGCGTTAAATTTCCTTTATAGTAAGCCATAAATTCGTTTTCACTCTGTTTACCTCATGTAAGAGAGTATATTGTTTCCGTGTATTTGGCAGAACTTCAGTGAAGATTTCTTTTGTAAAAAAGAGTTTGTTAGCCTATGAAGAGATAGGTGAAGGCAACTATTGTGCAACAGACATCTTTTAACCAGCTTTGTTATAGACGAGCGTTCACACAGTAATTTCAAGAAAGCTCAGGCTCGCACCACAGTAGCAAGATATTGTTATCGTTTGCTGATTCTTCACAGTCAGCCAGGCGCCGCTTTCCAGATATAATAATTAGGACTTGTTTCCAAACCTCTGTCTCCTAAAAATTTTTTGTTAAGCCTAGTAACTAATGACGGAATTGATTGCATCAAGAGAAGATCAAGGCTGATCTTGATTATATGGAATGAACCCTTTCAGACCCTTGAAATAGTTTATTCTTCCAACTGATAGCCATAGGTTCCTCAGAATGTTAGTTTTTAAGAGTTTGGTGATAAATCATGACGACATGGTCAATTTACAGTGTTTAAATGTAGCTATAATCAAGACACCCTATGGTTGATGGGATTCTGTGTTTCAGTTCTGATGCGGAAATTGAGTGTTTTGGTCGTTCTGTTGTTTTCAAGTCGTTTGTCTTTGGACGATTGGGATGCAACGCCGGCGATTGCATTAAAGATGGAATCCGCTCAAAGTTTGAGCAATAAGTGCAAAAGTTATTTACTAAAAATCTACACACAGCACGGTAACTTTTTGAGTAATATTTAAAACATCTCACTTTAATTAATTTCTCTAAGTGACCCTGCGATTAAATTCTCTAACATTCTCGAAAAAGTTAATGTCAAACCTCGTAAGAATGCTTAATGCGTGTGTTATTGTTTTTTCAACTAACGCGAAACGTCCGTTTCAATTGAAATATGGATAACTTCAAGTTCAATTTTCGTCTTACCTTTATTCAAAATATCACCCTGCTATGAAGTTTTTTTGGTAACTTTATTTTTGCCATTATTGCTCGAATGTTCTGCGGAAATCGTCTTAATTTCAGTCAAATGTCATAAGTAGTGGAAGGGTAAAGTTCACTACCCAGCCATTTGCGCCAGAATCAATATCCGTGCTCAACTAAAATCCTCTTGGTCCTTGTTGAATTGTAAATTCTCTGTGTCTAGTCAATCAAACGTGTGATTCCGACAAAAATTAAATGGGACCAAGTCCATAAATTAAGCTTAACATAATCGCCTCGAGAGCGTTAAACTTTTCACTCAGTCTTTGGATCTAACCTTGGAAAGCAAAGACTACACGCAGATTTCTTGAGTTGCTGTACAGTAGAACTATGTAACTCAGTCTGCGAGTAAATGTAGAAGTCGTGTTTTAAATGCAGTTTCAGGTTTCTACCAGGTTTTAAACGACCGAACAAGCACAACTGACTTACAAAAAAGAAAAGAAAAGAAAGAAAAGTTCTGTGCTTGTTCGGTTCGATGATCAAACGCAAAAGGGGCACTCTGATGAGTTCGAGAACTCAAAAGCCAAGAGACTTATTTACATCAAAAGTTGTTGTCTAGAGTTGTTAAAGATTACTTTACTAATGCACGAAAGTTATGTAGGGGAATTTTGATGAGCTGCGAATGCGAAGGTTTTGGTCTCAAATTAAAAAAAACGTCAGGTAGACTTCAGTTTTAAATCCTGTTTAAGTGTCTTGGAAAGATTACTGAAAACTAATTGCAATTTGTTCTCCCTTCAACAGTTCACTAAATATGACCCTGGGTACTTACGGGATCATAATCCTGGCGCCTTGTTGACCAAAACTGCTGCAAAATCTCCGTTATATATATTTCCCTGTTTAATTCTGGAGAACTGCCGATCGCCACTGTCGTCCAAATTCAGGAAAAAATAGATAAGTTTCTATTTGTTTTGTTTGTTTTAAGCCAATTAATATCGTAAACATGTCGAATTTTAAGCGCATCATACGTGCTATATTGTCGTTGTTAGGGTACCGTCACGAACGGTCGTTTAAAACCTCAATATGTAAATCTCAATGACATATTTCAGCGCGTTATATCAAGTATCTATAATTTCAGTCTAGACCACGGTTATTATCGATATCAGTTTATTTTTGAAATATCTTTAACAATTTGCGCTATAATTTAAATTGAGAAGGAAAGACAAATCAGTGAAGTTATTGGAGCCAGATAGCCGATAATATCGGTAAAATTGAAAGCCTTGCCCTAGTAGTATATGTTGAATAGAAAGCAAAACTAGACGACTCCTATAAAGGCTTGTTGCACAGTAAGCAATACAGCGGCATTAAATAACATAACATATAAGCGAAAAACACTCGGAAATATGGCTTCACCGGTGCCTCTTTGTCTGATTCACCTCAATTCATCCTGTTTATCTTGGTCCGATCACCTTGAAACCTCCATTTGAGACAGTTGCTAGGTTTTACGTCACTTGCTGCGCAATGTTGTGTCGCTGTGTCAAACTTGTTGACACTTTTTGCGACATAACATAACGACAAAAGGAATGATAAACGTTTCTTACTGTGTATACCAAGGTCAACGTTGGTGTATAACCTCACCGAAATAAGTAGACAACATTCCTTGGTGGTCTAACGTTTAGGCAAGTAATGTGCACCAAAGCTACCAATGAAAAGTAAAAACTGAAACTTTGATAACTCCCTGCAGAAATATCCCCGTAACCACCTTAAACGTTTCTCTCAATTCATGATTTGATATTCGCCCCGTCCCGAAAAATCGCAATTGCACTGAAGTTTGCATTTTTATTCTTCCCCATGCTCTTTAAATCTTGGACCATCAGTTCATTTTTTATCTCTGTGGGTCTTCAGCTTCCTTTTTGCTTCCTCTAGGATAAACAAGCAGATGACGTTGAGGCCGGGGCTTCCAGGGTCCTTCACTAGGTCATGATCAGTTGCATAACCGTCTGTGAGTATTCTTCGAAACTTATGTTTCAAAGATGAAAAGTACGAATTTCAGGCTCGGTAACAAACAGCCATCTCAAAAACCGGTGGTGCGTTAAGAAATATAATCCTATGTAATTACACAAAATGGTAAAATGTGCTCAATTACTGAATCAATGAACGCGTTGAATAATGAGATATAAGTGGCAACATAAGAAATACATTTTCTAGTGTTCCATTTTATTGTATACATGTCAAAGCGAGCTACCAGCTGAAGCTGAACAAAAATGAATGTACAAAAACTGAACGCCGTGCAACAGTGAAAAAAACAAAAAGAAAGAAAAAGATCTGCGAAACAAAAATTCCAATAAGGGGTAAATACTAACTCGCAAATTCCTGTCCATCGATATTCAATCATTCAAATGCTTAATTCTTACTATCCACATTTTCACCTCCTGCCTACATTAGGAATATTAGAGTTTTGACAAAAAGGTGTTCTGTTTCTGTCCAATCAAAATAGCGGCGTGCACTGTACGAAGGGCTTCGCGCCAGCCTGCCATAATGTCGAATGTTTAAGATGAACAAAACGAAATAAATTGTTCTGCCATAATGTCGCACCGGTAACGAGTCTTCCAACAGGCTACCTACCTATCTCTGTGATGAAAGAAGCCGCAGCCAGTAATGAGCAACCTGAATGATTTCTACTGAAGGCAGAACATGTTGTCTGGTATGATAACCCCTTACGTAAGACACCGTCGGGGCGTTAGGGGTGCAGTATTGATGCGCAATTTTTTTGTTAGCTTTGATGTTTGGCTGAAGAATATATATAAAAAGGTTGTTAGTGTAAAAGGCTTGCAAATCGTTGAGAAATTTCGTTTTCGTATTTCATAGCGCGATTTTTTAAATCAAGCTTCTATTGATATGATTTAGTAACTGATTAGCATCAAACTAGTAATTAACAATGTTGATTTTTTACACAAAGGGCGTAAAAGTTTGCATGCTGTGCATTGTGTACACGAAATTAAGGTCGGACCAGTTTAGGTTATGACAAACGGACAATAAATGTGAGTCAATCATTCTCTGCAGGTTTGACTCGTTACCAAAGAACTGACTTAAGCGACTTCCCACTTGTTTTTAGAACCTCTACATTGTAGCAACCTTTGCATAACATGCTCGTTTATATTTAAGTTATATTCAGTTCTCTTGTTCTATTGATGGTCATATATATCGTACATTTCAATGATGTTTGCCAGAGGCTTTTCTCACGCGCCTTGAGATCGCCCACTTGTACTCAGGGCTACCGAGAAGTTCACTGATGCGGCTTGTATCCAGCTCTCTCTCGGTTCTTTTTGGTAGAATAAAATTCTGCTGCCAAAATTTTGGGTAAAAAAATCATATTTAAAACTTGCATTTTTGTCGAATTTAAAAACGATCAAAAACTGTGTGTAGAGATGGCATATTTAATGTTCGTCTGAGTGAATTTGTGCAAAATTATGTTGAATTCATGCCATCAGAGATACAATTGTTGTAATATTTAGGTAATTCAGAAGTTTATTTAGACATTTTTGTGCATGGAGAGAGAACCAAAACTAAATATTTTTACCTACCCTACTCATGTAGTGTCACGTTCCTTTCGTTTACCCCATATCCCATAAATATTTGTCTTTTACAAAGGCCTGTCCAGATGCTGACCGCATATATCGATGTGCTCATTGTTTCTTGACATTTCATGCCTTCGTTGATTGTCGCCTTCCATTCGTTACGCTTCAACAGTCGGCGCGACGTCAAACGAATCGGCGGTAAGCTAGACGGAAAACTTAGAAACTGTCGTGCTTTTCTTGTTAGAGTTGGAGATTCCACACTAAGTGATCAAACGGTTCTTATTGTTGGATCGTAACAGAGTGATTCAAGCTTGCATCGGATCTTCAGGTGAGAGGAATGTCAAAGCTATATTTTCATTCCATCAAAACGTGATAAATTGTGGTCCAAATCCTACATGTTAATGTATTCCCCGGCTTTGTACTCATGCTCCCTTTGCGATTTGAAAGCGAAGACCGTACGCTTATCTTGACATTACTGACCAGAAACTCTCGAAAGCGCTTGTCAATATGATTTACTAGATTAAGGTTACTTCTTATCTCGGTTTTGAGTTCTGTGGATTGCTTATATTCTGACAGATTGATCTATAAACTTTAGACGTGTTTCAAATGTCTTCCTTATCAAGATGTTACAGACTGCAGAACTAACTGAACGAAGAGTCAAATTTGTTCAATCCCTTGCTAGTGTGGCAGTATGAAAAACCGATAAGACATTCCGCAAACGGTGAAATCGTAATGTCGCGTACTGTTACGAGTGCATGTCGAGTGAGCTGTTTGTTCTGAGGTTAAAAAAAGTTTTAATATCTACAGTGACGTTTCGACTCTGTGACATGTTTCGTCACTTGACATTTATCTTTCATCCACTCTCTCTTTCGAGTGATAATAACAGTATGATTCCTGAATTCTCGAGAACGTTTATCAGCTTAAAGGTTCAAGAACGTCCTTGGCGACAAAGCCGAAGTTCAGGAAACCATTTTCTGCTCCGTTGATTTGTGCATGTAAAACGTACTCCCTTCAATTTTCATAAATGCCTGCTAATGACCTGAAAACAAACAATTCTGTCCTGAAATGTTATTGCCTCAGCTGAATTATGAACAGTTAAGGGCATTGCACGACTAAAGAACTACAGTACAACGTCCGGACGCGGTTTTGTACGAGAACGAAACTGGTTGCAGCTCTAACTTCTGGATGATTCGTGATAAATGGGAAAGTTTTCATTGCGCGATTTCAGATTGAATTTCCGGTTGAGGGGTTAAATATACACTCTTATGTTTTCTCTGGCAGCTTTTTCTTCAAACAGAGGGTAAATTATACTTGGCGGTCGTTCCATGTAAGCCTGTGTTTACTTATCCCGTTAGTTGGGTATTGCCCCCGTTTTAAAAGTCACGAATATCTGCTATCACTAGATAACAAATTGGAGACCTCGAAATAGACATGTTAATCACCTGTGGGAAAATAATTTGGAGGTTGACTTTTTGGGCTAGTTATTTCATAGTATTAAGTTGGACACAAACTTTAAAACCCTAGAATTTATTTAAAATTTGTTTGTCGCTATTACTGGGATTAGAGCATGCCAGAGAGAAGGTAAAGTATTGGATATTCCAACGAGACCATTGATTGCATAGAATATAATGCCGAAATGGAGATTATTTTGGAAACAAAAAGTAGGTTATTAGCACTTCGTAGAAAACATTAACAACTAAAGTTCACATTACACAGCCTGGAGGCAAATTATTTGCATGATTGAAAACGAGCACCATCGAAACATTAAATCAATAGTTCCCAAGAAAACTCTTTCAGCTGTAAGAAAGCAGATTAACTATATTGTACTAAGCAAGTCGAACACAAAGAGAACTCAAAATCGATGGGAAAGACTCAGGGATCTGCAAACAATACACTGTACGTGATAGGGTTGGGAGAAACAAAGCCATCATTAAATAAGAACGAAATCATTCCTTACGGGTAATAACTTTTAATTGAATCACCTAATCTGCGTGTGGTCTTGATTAATAACGATAGGAGAGACTGTTGTGACGATATGTCGATCAAACCTTTCAGTTGTTTAGGAAAGTGGATGTACTGGTATACAGTATAATAATATTTGTCTGCCCAAGCTTCACTTTACTTCATTAAAGTACACCTGTTATTAATCACGAATTGCAAAGAAACATTTTTCAAAAGTAGCTGTTGCTTTAAGAGAGGTAGCTCAGTACTGAATCCATGGACTACTTAGAAACTACCGCAATGATTCGATTTAACGCCTTCCTTCCAATAACCGCCACCTTTATAATAAGCGCTCCCCATCGAGTGCCATTTTCTTAATAAGCGCCCCTCCCAACAAGCAAGCGACGTTTAAGGCATTGACAAAGAATAGATTGGTTAGACGAATGCACTATTAATTCTATTTTCCAGTTTGGACATTATGACTATCAGAGCCCCCTAATGTTACAATTCTTGAGTCAAGGGATCTGTTTAGAAGATGTGATCTCAGGCGAGGGAAAAGTAAACATAAAGCGTAAGAGGAGCTCAATTTGTCCTCGCCAAAACGGTCTCAGGAAGCACAGCTTCGTAACCTTTAAAACCGGCACAATGTTTCTTCTTCTTTAAAAAATAATTCTCCAGGAAACATTTTATGAACAAACTAATCCAAAAAGGCAAACACATTCCATTCTGGTAAATTCATGACATGCAAACTTCAGTCACTATTGACGACAAAACATAGCCAATGAGCGTGCGACAATTTGACAGTTCGTCAATTTAGCAAGAGTTAGTAACCATGTGATTGCTATATTTTGCTAATCTCAACTGCTTGAAACTGCCAAGCGATGTTTAAAGTAAGGGCACTCTTACTTTAAACACCTGACATTTTTTTTGTTGACTCTAGAGTAAGGGCTCTTAACACAATGTGAAAGATTTACATTTCTACAGTTCAAAAACGCCAATACTTTTGTTAATATGAAGAGCCTTGTTCTATTTATCAAAAAATTGTTCAACAAAATATCAAGTGTTCATAGTTCTAGTGGCCTCACTGTAAATATAATGAGAAAATCGCTGAATTCATTTAAAAGTAGTGTCCTGAAGAGAACTTATACTCGGTGATCGGTTTTTGTTTGCTTCATGTTTGGTAATTATCCATCAAAGAAATCTAGAGAAAGACATTTGAATCTTCAGTGTAGCAAAATGCTCGATGGCAAGTGAATAAGGTATTTACTCCTTATATTATATTCCATAAAGGAATCTTTGTTGATAATAACGACCAGCCTCGTTAACATACTCGCTTTATTCTCTGATCCAGCTTCAAAAATATTAACTCTGATTATTCGAAGGGCATGGTGCAATTAACTGTCCCAAGAAATTTGAACAAAGATGTTTGAAATACTTTTTCTTTACTGGTGATTTAAAAGGAAAAAAATCACAGAGAACGTATGGACTCGTTAGTGTTTTACCAGACATAAAATTTTGTAGCTTTAGAAAGCCTGTATCCACTTCGATAGTAAACGCAAAGCAATAGTAATTTAACCAATTACCGAGTCTCACAATGTTAGGAAATGTGAACAATGACTTGAGCAAAGGTTCGCTAAGGAATACAGCAGATCTGAATATGACGTCATCAGAATTGTAAGCACATACAAGCAATGCACTTGTGGTTTATCCGTTCATCAAAAGTTGAAGCTTTCTTTTACATTGCTCGTTTGCTTAGGAAGTTTAAACAAGCAAGCAAAAGAACTATTAACTACAGGGGAGAGATTAAAAAGGTAAGAAATCTGTTAAGGTAGTGGGTTGAAACGATATTTTTGACAAAGATTCTTGATGTATGATGTGACAATAAAAACCGTCTGAAACGTTTGAACTAATCCGTGAAACATCATAGAGCTAGTTTTTTGAACCACAAATACTATAATTGAATTCTTTTTTTACAAAATGAGTGTTCCCATCATTAGCTCAATAAGTTTCGTATCGCTTTTCTCAGTCTATGAGATAAGTACGTATTTGCACGAACGACCATTTACTATCGTCGCATTGGTTTCACTCATTTCGTCTTAAATAAGTTTTGATTAGATGGGCCGCATAATTGTTATACAGTGAAATCTATCTTAAGCGGACACCATTGGGACCCTCACTAGTGTCCGCTTAATACAGGGTGTCCGCTCTAGACAGGTTCTAATATATCGTGCAATAACATTTAATTGTTAACCCTTTTGAAATCGTCACTTTTATCGATAACCGCATATCAACGTTGCCTAGCTCCTAGGCCTCGATATTTGAATATTCCAGTTAGCTTTAAAACGACATCGCTGAACAATGATCTCAAAGTGACTCAATCGTGAGACAACCGAGTTTAAAATTCATCTGTCCTATCTTACACCAAGATGAATAATAAAGGAGTCTGAGCTGAGCTTTTAGAAGTAAAAAGCCCTTGAAGTGTCCGCTTATTGTAGGTTTTGTGCAACAAAATGGCTTGATATTAGTGTCCGCGTCCGCTAAACAGAGGTGTCCGCTGACTGCAGTAAATGCGGGTAGAAAATTTAGGGACTCAAGCTGGTGTCCACTTAATACAGGGTGTCCGCTTAATACAGTTTTCACTGTATAGGAAACACTAACAAACACTAACGTGTCATTACGAAGTGACCCAACTTCGGTCAAAACGTTAATTTTTTTATTAAATCAAGGTAATTGTGGGGAATTCCATTCTCTTAAACTGATATGAATTTACCTATACATTCCAACTTCTTTATCTTTAACATTATCAATTGTCCTCAAACATCCGTTTCTCGTGATAACATCAAATTAAAACACTTAGTTTGTGGTGCATTAGCAAAGGAATTTCGCTCGCATAATATCAGTACGTCGTGTATTGGTTGTCTCTGTATGTTTTAACCTTATGGTTAAATACTGACATGTTTGCTTTGAACGATCCTTCACGAACGCGTTCTTTGTAGCTTCAGGGTTGCTACTTCCGCAGGCAGTGAATTTGTTTATCTTTATTTTTGGCATGATTGAAAGACCATTTGATTTCTTACTTCGTCAGCTTTCGATATTTTGCTAATCTCGACGGCTTAAAACTTCCAACTGATTTTTAAATGTAAAGAGGAAATCGCTAAATTCACTAAATTATTTCATCGCTAAAAATAGTGTCGTGAAGGAAACTTCTGCTCGATGATCATTTGTTGTTTGCTCGAGTGTTATGTTTAACAGATTGGCTAATGATCCATGCAGCAAAGACATTTATGACACAAGGACATTAGAATCCTCAGTATAGCCAAATGCTTTATGGCAAGTAAATATGGCATATATTCGTCGTATCATATTCTATAGACCGTTTTCACTCCCGTAGCCAGCAACCATGCGAATTTACTGGAATAAAAGGAGGTGTTTACATAAGAAAAGAGTTCAACTCCTTTTAGATTGGTTTGGTACATCAATATGGCTGCCGTGACGTCATGCGAAAATGCTGTATAGAGGAATCTACATTAGCATAAGCGCTTGAGTTCCTGATCGAGTTACCAAAAAATTACAGCCCTGAATGTTTAAAGGACATAGTGCGGTTGATTGTCCCAAGAAATTTCGGCCCGATGTTTTAAATACTCTTTCTTTACTGCAGGTTCAAAACATCAAAAATTCACAAAGAATATAATTTATGGGTTCATTAGTGCTTTTTGCCACCCAGAAACTGTGTAGCTTTTGAAAGCCAATATCTTCTTTTACATTAAACCCAAAGAGCTAAACATTTTGCCAATTTCTGAGTCTTACAATCTTTATAATTGTTTGAAGGCAACTGGTATCTGCAGTATAGTGCCTTCTCTACGCAGGTTCTCAAATTAATGTGGCCAAATGTAAACAGTGACGTCAACAAAGGTTCCCTAAATAATACAGCTGATCTGAATATGACGTCATCAGAATTTTAAATAGGAACCGCTTTGAAGGTGGTCAGTTTTTTCCTACAGTTTATGCACGTTAACTGCTCAATGATTTTGCTTTGAAGATTCGGCGTTTTTGAAACTAAGGACAACTCTTCGTAAACTGAAAGAAGACCCAATATTTTCCTCAATCAGTCAAAGTTACGCACATCAAGTTTTTAAATATGATTAAGTAGTTTTGAGGGTATTAAAAAGCAACTGGCCATCGGGTCACCAAGAGAGGAGAGTGTTTTGATTTGTACCACAATCTCTGAACTTGCCCCGCAGACAGCAATATACGTCAAGACCAGCAAGGAGAATTGAAATTCTGGTCTAGTTAAAAGAAAATTGACTTTTCTCTAAAATATTACAAAGAAAACCTTTCCATAATTGAAAAAAATTTATGGCATATTGTTCATCTAAACTACATAGACAACTTTTACAGAGTTTAGGAACTTTAAAACGTAGTTTTACTTTACTATTAGTATATTTAGTTTTGTATGCACTATAGCATTTGAAAATTTTCCATTTTTCTACGTCTGAAAATCTGCAAATAAGTGTTTTTTTTAAACAATAGTTACTCATTGCAGTCAAATATTAATTACGTTAAAGATGAAGGTTTTTCTCTTTGTGCTATTGTGTAAATTCCTTTTTTTTCAGATTACATTGTTCTTGTAATGATCTCCCAAGTACAGTTTCAGTCTTCCAAATTAACCTAATATATGGAAGAAGAACGCCACGACTAACTTTAAATACTTATTTATTTATTTATTTTATTTATTTAACATTTCTTTATACACGGTTAAAAATCATCAGGTAATACTAATATTTAACGTTATATATAAAAAATTAAAAAAAAAAAA